GTGTGTGTGTGTGTGTGTGTGTGTGTGTGTGCTCAAGCATACATACACATGTATACATGGGGATGTCAAGGCATGCCAGTAGAGACCAGAGGACAGCCAGGCTGTGAGTATTTTTATCCGCTTGACCATCTCACCTGCCTGAAGATACACTCTAGAAACAGGAAGATCTATGTTGGAGTATCACTTTGATGCTAGGTGGACAGGTCCAGTGCTTGTCCTCCTTGAACTGGGGTAAGTCATCTAGCTTTCCTGAGAAGCCGTTTCCTTTCCTGTGAATATGGAAAGCACACCGGAACACAGAACATACCCTCTCAGGAAGCAGTTTCAGCTTTTTAGGTCCAGTTCCTTCTCTCCACCGTCTCCTAGACTCGCAGCATTTCCAGGTGAGCTCAGAAGAGAGTCCTCGAAGCCACCCAATATGCCCGGACCATTTCATCCTTGACCAGCTGTCACTGCTAGAATAGTCTATCCCGAGAAGGCAGGGAATGGTCCCATACCCAGCTAGGAGAGGAAGGAAGAGATGGAAACCAATCCCTCTTGAAGATGCGGATGTATAAACACATGGCAATGACATATCTCTTTCCCTTTTCAGTTTCCATTTCCACTGAAAATAACTTTCAGATCTCTGAAATGCACCCCCTCCCCGTTATCTTCCTCTTTCAAAACCTTCCTGTTCTTTCTACAAGAGGCCTGTGTGGCTTTGCAAGACTATGCTCTCTACATGTGCACACAGGCTCACGGAGGATGGGGAAATCTCAGCTTAACCTTGGGAACCTCAACTGAAGCAGAGATGTGAAATTTGACTGATCTGGTAACGAGTCACCCCAGTCTCCCGTTTCCCACGGGCAGGAATGTGTGTCGGGGGTGAACGGGTCATCATGACAGCCCTGTTCAGTCTAGCTCCCGTGGTGACTTGGGCACAGAACTTCAGAGGGTTGGGGAAATAATATCGCAGGGCATCTCCCTTTCTGGTAAGTCACAGCTAGACAGACTGCCGAGGTCTCAGCTCTGCATCCTCACAAATTCCACCTAGATACACCTGGGGTCAGGCTCAGAGCAGACACTCCCACCTCGGTGACCCAGAGAGAGCTCCTAACAGGAACTACATACCCGGATTCCTGGGAGTTCTGATTCCCTGAGAGATGAGGGAGTGAAGAGGAGAGCGGGAGAGAGAGGTTGCAGAGAAGCCCAAGTCTGGGGGTTGGGAGGCCATGTTTATGAAGGTCACTCACAATTGGATCTTCTTTTACTCAGCAGGCTGGTGTACCCCGCCTTGCTGTTGTCTGCCCTATGGATGCAGGTGCTCTATTGTCCTGGTTCTTAGGGTTTTATTTCCTTTATGAAAGAGGCAAGCCAAAGGGGGCATTAAGAAAACCCCCAAACTCCAAGGACATCCAGAGTTTTTATTCCTTAGTGGAACAATGTTTTATAAGCATAAGTAGAGAAAGGAAGGAAGGAAAGGAGGGAGGGATGGAGGGAGGGAGGGAGGGAGGAAGGAAGGAAGGAAGGAAGGAAGGAAGGAAGGAAGGAAGGAAGGAAGGAAGGAAGGAAAAGTATAGGAGCAGAACACGAATCTTAGGACAGAATAAAAGACAGCTCTTTAAACTTGACTGATGTGCACTTAGGAGAATGTTCCACACTTGTCCTTATTTACTTTGCTTCTCATTTTGCAACATTTTGAATGAAATGCCATCACAAATCAGACAGAGAACCAAGAAATCTGAATTTAAGCCCGGATTTTGATGCTGTTTCTAAGTGCTGGGTGGAGCGAATTCTTCCTTGTTATTTTCCCAATGAAAGGGTCATGTTAAGCGACTCCTTAAGGGGCCCTAACTTTCTTTCTCTGATTATAATGTGGAAGGCTGAGCTCCAACTCCGCCACCATGGAATCACATCATTCGGATGATGTTTCATAACAAATTTTGTTTTTCCCATTCTCCGACTTGCAGCCCAGTCTCCTCTGAGGATTAGTGACCGTTTATAGTATCAGACAAAACCAGTAATTTTCCCACTAACCTGGGAGTTTCCCAGGATTTTCTGCCAAAGATTATTTTGGCATCTAACAACTTTTTTTTTTTAAAGTTTTCCATCATCGGTTTTACCATCAACAAAACAATATTTCTTAAGTTAACAAGGAAAGTACTGAACCAAGATATCAGGGACAAGATCACGTAATGAGGAAAGGCTCAGACAGTCCATAAAGGAACACTTGTCTCCTCACACTGTGAACCTCGAAGACCCAGGAGAGGGCCGGCGGTGGCTATGATAGAGTGTGAAGGTAACAGATGCAATGGTTAGGAGGAAGCGGGGCTCCCTCCATCAAGCCATAAAGGACCACAAAAAATTGCGGAATGTGTGGGAGATTCAGGGAGGGCAGAAGCAAAAACCTTATTGAGGAATGGATCCAAGCGCATGCTACAAAAAGTAACTGTACACTGTGGTCACACTCTCGAAAGTGTGTGTTGGGGAGGCGCTCCATTGTTTAGCAATGTCTGGAAGTTTCTATGGTTGTCACAACCCTGGAAGAGAGATCTATTGACAGGGAGGAAGGGCTGGCATGCTGGTAAACTTCCTTTGGGTCCCAATTCCTCCATCTGGTAGAGAGAAGCTCTCCCTCCCTCTGTGTAGCTACAGAATCCATATATTTTGTAATTTTATTTACTTATTTGCTGTTTCCTCTAAAATACAATCATCCTAAAATCTACAGGACAACCCCTCCTAAATAA